GCTTCATTCCAAATGCAGAATAATGCATGATAAAAATTCCTTTAAATCCATTTGGTAAATGCAAAACACATCAACAAAACAAAAATGCAACCACATAAATATCAGCTCAAAACAGCAAGGGGAGATCATTATTGAACATCACAAACTTGTTGCTGAAAACACTATTTAATGCAAAGTTACTTAAGTTACTATAGTGAGGAGTAATTCTTTCTTCTGAACAACCAGGCTTCCTCTAAGGTATTTATTTATTTATTTATAGCATTTGCATACTCATTTTAATGCTGGGCAAAGTTGACAGCATATCATATGAGAACACTTGGTAAAAATAAGTATGAACAAACGCATCAGTAGATTCATTTACTCTCGTATTTCCTCTTACTGTAAAAATCCAGCTCTGTTTTCTGCTGACTCTCAGAATGATGTGCGCTGTAGCCGACCAGCGACACGCATGTGATGTTCAAGAAGGACCTTCCCTTAAAGTAATGCTGATGAGATTTCCGATTTGCTGTTGTGTTTGCTGATTTGCTGTTCCGTTTTTGGTTTGTTAATGTTTTTCATATTTACCATCCACCATAATTTGGAGACCCTGAATACTAAATCAGGACCCCGTCGAACCCAGACGTCCTCTGTCTTGGCACGTATTCTGCACTAAGATGAAATCTGACCCCAATCCGTCATCCTAAGTGCCATTTTCACATCACTTGCCTCCACAGAGACTGTGTGTTGGCAGGTGTTTCAGCGTGTATGTGCAATTGCAAAAATAAGTATTTGCAAGAGCACATCTCTGCACATCACATGCATCTATAGAAATATATTATGCACGCCATAATTTAGAAGCTTACTCTATCCAGATGATCCAATAAATAAAGAAACCAGAGTCCTCTACTAAGTGAATAACTGAGATTAGTGTAAGCACTCGACATCCTAATGAAGTCTGAACCATGTCGAGCTGCCCTACGCACTGCTAAACTTATTACAAATGTACCTAATAAACTGCTACAAGCTGGAAGACACCCTTGTTATCAATGCTAGAAAGATGAACAGAAGAAAGTTGTGTGAAATCAAAACTGAAAAGCAGAAACCCGTCTCAGCCCTTCTGAAAAGGGAATCTGAAAATTACAAATCTACACAAATGTAAAGAAAAACCCTGCACTACTATCTAAACCTTATAATATTTGGCATGACAGACATGATGATGAGCATGGTGCAATGTACATTCCCACTCAAGGGTGGAAATATGGAACAACAACAACAACAATAACATAAAAAAGCACATTGTTTCAAAGTCGTAATTGGTCAAAATCATTCTGGAGTTTCTGCAGGAGTTGATTGTTAATTTAAATTGTCGATTTAAAAAAAAAATAATAAAAAAATAATGCAACAACATAGGTTAGGAATAGTAAGACTAAAACACAAGAGGAAATTAAATAAAAAAAAAAAAAATAGAGGGAAAAAATTAAATAAAAAAATAAAAAGCAGCTTTTACAAAAAGACGTAAGAATGCATAAAGTGACCCTTTTTTCTTCTGTTCTGGCAGACGCGGCTGCTGATCACAGAGAGCCCGTGTAACACTTGAGGATTTTGCATACGACGTTTAACTCCAGATCTGTTTAAGACAAAAATAAGGCATAGGCATGAGTATCTGAGTTCTGTTTTAAGGTTGTTAAAAAAAAAAAAAAAAACCCTTGTTGACATCCCAGAACACCTCTGTAGTTGTTAATCAACTGTGTCCACTTGCAACACAAGGGAAGGTATTTGTAGAGCTGAAACAACCTCGGCAGAAATATAATGTAATGTAATTATGGAAAAATGTGTAAATATACCCTATATACGCAACTTGTAGCTATAGTGGGGTCCAACAGTCTGAGACCAGTAGCAGAAATCCTCCTATTTTACATTCTTTTCTAATTTAATATAAAATCTTTCATTACAAATTATATCATCAGCAACAACTTCAGAAGAATCTTACAACTATTTACATGAATTTCCTATTATTTGGTTTGTCCTTCTTTTGCTTTAAGGACAGCATGCACTCTAACTGTCCTGGACTTCACATGTTTTTTTTGAAAAACCTGAAGATCCATGTTAGATCAAATCCATTAGAGTGTTGTCTGAACAAGAGCTTCAGTGGAAGAGATAAGGAGTTTACATGGTCAACATCACAAATTTGCTTACGTATAAATAGCGACCTATTAATGGTGCCGAATCTTTAGTGCTGAATATTCAAGATGTTGAACATTCCTTTCTTTGTTTTGTGTTTTCGTTTAAAATTCTTCCTGTTGAAACTTCCTGTTTATTTCCTGTTTTAAATTAAAAGAATCTGCAGATTTTCTAAGTGGTGTCAGACCTTTGGACCCCACTGCACAGTCATTTTATCATGTTCACTTACATACCATATAGGGGTACTTAGTAGGTTTACAGTAACTGAGTGCCGTCCCTCTGTTGCTCTGCCTCGTGTATCAGTGGAAAGGACGGATATTACACACACACACACACACACACACACACACTATATGGTCAAAAGTATGTGGACACCTGGCCATCACACCCATACATGCCCATTTCAAAACCATGGGCATTTACACTGGGATGTTAATGCCCCCTTTTGGTACTCCCCCCCTTTGCTGTTACAATAACCTCCACTCTTCCGGGAAGGCTTTCCAGTTGATTTTGGTGGTGGGGATTTGCCCATTCAGTCACAAGAGCATTAGTGAGGTAAGGCACTGATGTTGGGGAGGCCTGGTGGGATTCATCCCAAAGGTGTTCAGTAGGGTTGAGGTCAGGGCTTGGGCCACTCAAGTTCTTCCACGTCAACCTTTGGTAAACCATGCCTTTATGGACCTTGCTTTGTGCACAGCACCATTGTCATGCTAGAAAAGTTTTGGGCCCCTTAGTTTCAATGAAAGGAAATTGTAATGCTACAAACTTACAAAGACATTACAACTTTGTGGCAACAGTTTGAGGAAGGCTCGCATATGGACAGTCAGTGGTCAGGTGTCCACAAACTTTTGGCCATATAATGTATATTTAATATGCGTAAACACTTAAACCCCATTCAAAGTGTGTGCATATGAGTCATGAGTCATATTGGCTTGTTAACTAGCCTCCTTGCTAACTAGCTGGTACAGTAAAACAACAGTTAAAAACAACCAGCTGCCATATATACATGGAGTAGTTGGGTATTAGTAACCTTTCAGGGTTTTTTTTGGGATCAAATTCATTCATTTACTCATTTGCAGTAACCGGTCATGGTAGATCCAGAGCCTATCCAGGGAACACTGGGTACAAGGCAAAGATACACACTGGATGGGACGGCAGACCACGGAATTGCATGGAAATTGCAAAGCTTTCTGGATATGTTTCACTTAATTCCTGACTTGACTGCTCATCTAATAATCATCTAACAAACTGCACTTCAATTATGAAGTCTATGTGCACTAATATAAAAGTAACAATTAAGCCATGAGGAAACCAACAGGGAAGTTGACGATGGTGTGTTAAAGCAGTATTTGAAAACAGAACAAGTGGAGAAATGAGCTTACATGATTGACAGATGGGCTCTACCAGTGAGGTGGCACGTAGCTGTAGCCAGGCGTTCCTTGTGGACGATACGTTGGCACCGTAACAGGGTGTGGACCAATGGGAGTGTGCTGGGGTGTGGTCAACAGCGTTCCTGGTTGGAGAACCACAATGCATAATCGTTAGTTTCTTTACATCTTAGCAGCGCCATCTATTAAAGCATCAGCATGTTTTGATAGGTTCAGAGAAAGAGGCACTGGTTTCAGTACAGATATCATTAAAAACAAGAGAGACAGAATTGAAGCTGACAATTTTCTACCTAGCCAAAATATAGTCAGTGACTTTCTGTAGTGGTTAAATATGTTAAACTAGCTCTAGTGTAAAACTAAAGTAACAAACTTCAGGCAACAAACATGTTCTGGGTCATGGACTACAATCAGAGGGTGGGATTATGTAGATTTCATTTATGAATGATTTATCATGTTAATATCTGATCATTTGATTTGATCTTTAATAAAATAGCATTAAATTGTATATACATATCAAAACCTGTATCTGTCTAAAATGAATATAATAAAATGAATCATTGATATAAAGAATAGATACCTCTTTCATTGATATGTAAATTACTACAGATGCACTAATTCCATTTTTCAGACCGAGTACGTTTTTACTACGTTTTTTTTCGTACTCATTAACACCAATACCAAACTGAGTAACCTACTCAGTATTTAAGCAATCAGTGGCGTCATGTAACATTCTGTTTAGCTCTGTTTATGTTGGCTGCTACTGTACGCTACTAGAAAACCTCATGCTGTTATGTTATGGCTTTGAAATCTTTAACAGAGAGTGTGAGAGCGGCTAACCTGGCATGCAGAGCATTATCAGTGAGCGTCGGTGTTAAAAATTAGTGCACGGTGCCATGAATTGCAACTTGACTTGTAAGCAAAGTTTAGAGCGAGCAGAAAGGAAGTGTGTCAGTGTGCAGTGCGCGTGTCTCAGTGCTCGCAGAACTGAACTGCTCTCACATGACAATTTCTCTCCACGTTTGCCTCACTGCTTTATTCACAGCACCTTGCACTCATGTTTAATGACCATGCGTACTGATACTGCTCTGCAAGCTCAGGAAGGCCGCCCTCATACTCTTTACTAAAGATGCTGTTTAAACACCATAAAGATGTTTTATGATGTTTGCATTGTAGGAAGATGTTGTACTAGCTCCTCTTGATATTTTCAGAGCACAGTTTACAATCTGCTTTGCTTTCATTAATCATGAAGTACATCCAGATCGCTGTCATTTCGCGTCGTCTGCTCATTAGTGCAGCAACATACACTAGGCTTTTCGGATATTTGTATCAGATTTGTATTTTGGATATTAGCAATTTACATTTATATTTATACAGGACAACTTACAGGAGTCAAAAGGACATTACATTTTATCTCATTTATACAGCTGAGCAGTTGAGAGTTAAGGCCCTGCTCAAGATTGCTGAGATTTGAAATCAAGACCTTCCGATCAGTAGTCCAACGTCTTAACCACTGAGCTACCACTGCCCTTAAATTAATGTGTGTGTGCGTGTTTGTTTCTTTGACCTGCAGACATGGCCATCGTGGTTCCTGCCACCATGCCCATGGTGAGTGCGCTGGGCCGGGGGGTCACAGGGGGCACTGGGGCAGGGTACAGGGCAGAAGGGATGCTGTTGGGCTGCACCACCGTGGTGTGATGGATAACGTGGGGCTGTGCAGCGTACACAGGCTGGGTGTAGTAGGCTCCCTACAGAGACAGCAGCAACAGAATGTGATTAATAAATGACATTTCCTGAAGACAGTTTTTCAATCACATTTCCACAAAAGTGTACATTATTGTGTATACTGATGCATAACGGTAATATTAAAATTCAAGCCCTGTTTTACTAAAATTCTGAATAAAGAAGCTAATTAACATGGGCAAGTTTTTCTAGTTTTTGCATGTACTAAACATTAACAATCTCAAAGAGACCCCTGAAAGGGTGAACCAAAAATAAGTCATATGTGCAATTCTGAGTCAAGTATGTCTCAAACTGTTCTTAATATGAAATGAATGCAAAATTTTAAAAAGAGATATGAATATGTTGTGATCCCATGGTATGTATGAATCACAGGCTCTCAATACTGTAGGCATCTGAAGTGCAAATGTGCAGTGAAATCTAATAAACCAACAATACTGCACTCACACTAGTCATGACGTCAAAGGACATTCTCTTTATTTTTACATACTTTGAAATAATTACATGCAAAAAGGTTTTCTACTATCTGCGAATGGCAGAAATGAGCTCCCGCAGGTTTAATACCAGCTCTCTGTATTTGTTCCTGAAGTAAATATCAGGCTTAATAAATCATATTGAGGGTGATAAATTAACACATTTGCATAATTACGCATTTGTATTTTGCACCTTTAGACAGAAATGCCTTAAAGTGCACAAATATTAAGGCAAATGCCCAAAAAAAAGGCCCTTTGTCTAAACCAGCTTGCATGTATTTTTGTGCGTGTTATTAATTTTGTATGTGTTTTTAGTGGTGAAACTGTGAAACTTCCCAAAACACTCTGGAGCTTCCAAGAAACACTGAAATTACCCACTTGTGCTTCAGAAATCTTGTGAGACATGATGAAACCACAGGAAATCCCTATAAGATGCTTCTTAGATCTTTTTTATGTCTAGTACTTGTCTAGACTGGGTTGCAGAAAATAAAGCAGTCCACACCCTTTCACTCAATCATCAGTAAATAGTGCACAGTAATCTTGACAGTAGTTTCATAAATGTTGCTGCTAATCATCTATACTGGTCTATTGCACCACTTCCTCTCACACCCTCAATTCTGCTTCCACCTGAAGGCAGAAAGTTTTCACCCAGTGCAATTTGATTAATCATCTTTCAATGTGGTGAAATGTTGCACAATCTTACAGATGAACTGATCTCCATCGTGGCTCCCTTACCTGAGTGTAGAGGTTCTGTTGGGGGTAGGCACTGCGAATGGGGTACATGGCTGAGGGGTATGTGTTCGGAGAGGGGGAATATGGTGGAGGAGCGCCGTTTGACTGAGACGGGGAAACTTTATATGGAGTCCCTGCGGTGTATCCTGATACAGAAAAAGAGATACGCATAATTAATATATGTGTAATGGATGACAAAGAGATTGTACATGTGCACAACCTCAAATTTATACCCCATGGAAACAGGACATGGATAATGGTTCTGGGGATCCTGGGAAATGAGAGCAAATGAAAAAAAAAATCATAAGATTTTCAAGAATTACAATTTATTTGCATTCATTTACAAATATTCCTTAGGTGTCTTAGGGTTTCTTGGCTTTGCATTCAAAGAAATGGTACACAAGAAACTGTTCTGATTTATCAATACAACTCGAACTAATCTACTCGTGTGTGAATAATTCCTCCCGATTGCTGAACTGCTTGGATTTAATCATGGTTAGTGTACTTGCCTACTGGTAAATCTAATGTTTTAATAGTTTAATGCAAATCTGTGTATCCCCCATGGTTTCTAAATGGAAGGGAAGGGATACTATATCTCTCTTTTACAATTTACCTACAAAAATTTGAAGTCCAAAGTGTTAAAGCATGACATGAGAACAATCTAAAATATAAGGCAATACCAATCAAAAAGACGTTTTAACCATCCGAAGCAGATTTTTTGTTGCGTGGTAGGGCAGCTGAATATTACCACTGACAGGAACTGAAAGCTGCTCAGAGAAAATGAAAGTGATGAAGCTGAATAGTGTACATACAGGTTATTAGAGTACAATTTTATCATATTTAGAAAAGGAAAAACTGATATCAACTGATACTGAACTGATATCATCTAGTTTGTCTTCACTGCAAATAATCTGTGAACTAAACGTGAACACATTAAAAGTCTTTTGAAAATTTCAAGAAATTACATTTCTTTGTCTTCCTCTTTATGTCCTAACATAATAAAAGTCATGCTAACAAATCATTCTAAATGAAAATGAATAAAAGGAGAGAGAGAATATTGTTCTTCGTGTTATAGTTGCTCTTATTGTTGCTATTCAATTTCAGACTATGCCAGTACATCTACACAGAACTGAAATGAGCTGAAATGAGAGAGAGAGAGAAAAAAGAAAAGAGAGAGAAAACAGAGAACAAAAAAAGACATAAATCAGATGGCGGTCTACACTATTTATATGCACAAAGAAAAAGTTTCCAAACTGTTAAGTGTCAGTCCAAACAAAGCTCCTCGCAGATTTAATCTATACTAAGCCTCTTGGTATTAAATATATATGTGTTTTACTCTTTCTCAATATCAGAGTCATTTCTATCTGTCCTGCTTAGCTTCACTAATGCACTCAGTTTAGACAAGGGGTGGGTTTGTTTCCTAACTTTACGACAAAGCAAATCTTACTAAACACGGCAAACTGTTGGCCGTCACAGACGCGAGAGTCAAACATCAGCTAAGAAAACACAGGAGTAGACACGAACACACATTCTTGTTGATAATGTGGCAAGTGAAGTGGTTTAGAATCCTGCATATATTATGTTTGCTATGAAAATAGATATCTTTAAAGCGGCCAACGATTCTATACTATACAATATGATTCATTATTGACAGACAGAGAGGCCACGCCTCTTTCATAGGAAGCTGACAGGCAGAAAGGTCATGCCTCTTTCATAGGAAACTGACAGGCAGAGAGGCCACGCTTCCTACACAGGCAACAAGGTCATCATATCATGTAAAATACTGTAATAGGAAACCATAAGTACAGGATTTGAGCAACACATATTTAGGCTAGTAAGTATTAAATCACGCAATATAATCCTATAACACATGCCAGACGTTATACACACTGCAAATATGCTTAATGCAGAGACATGACTGCTGTCTAATGAGGCTAAGGTTGGACAGATATTTAACAAATAAATATATTAAAGTGAAAACTGTAAGAAGATTAAGAACCTTGCTTGGGGAAAACAGATTACTGCACCTCTGATTAATCTATGCCTTTGTACACATTTTCTTGTTTCTGTACTGTTCTTACAGACACCAGTTAATGTTCTCCAACAGACGTCTGGGAAAATATCTGAGCAAACACAGCACTCCTGCACCACGCCCACATTATATATGTTATAATATACTGTAGGTAAACAGTTGACTTCAGGGTACAGGACATGTGCAGTGTAAGAAGTGTGTGTGTTTGTAAATGGGAGGCGTACAGGGTACACATTAGAGATGCATTGGTGTATGAAAGGGATGTGACTGAATACAAATACATTACTTGGGTTGAACAGATGACGCATTTTTAGCATTTATTCATCTTTAGTAATCGCATGCTCAGGGATTTGGTGGTCTAAACTAGGCTACTAGTTTGTTTATATTCTGGGAAACAGAATCAACTAAATTTGTTAGAAAATATGTTAGAAATTTTTTAGAAAAAAACGTGGTTCTTCCCCAAACTGTTGCCACAAAATTGGAAGCACACAATTATATAGTATGTGTCTCTGTATGCTGTAGCATTACAGTTTCCCTTCACTAGAACTAAGGGGCCCAAACCTGCTCCAGCATGACAATGCCCCTGTGCACAAAGTGAGGTCTGTGATGACATGGTTTGACAAGGCTGGTGTGGAAGATCTTGAGTGTCCTGCACAGATCCCTAACCTCAATTCCACTGAACACCTTTGGGATGAGCTGGAACGCTGACTCAACCACAGACCTCCCCACAATTGTGCATACTGTATATAAAGTCAGTGTACATGTGTGTATCTGTTTTTTTTTAAAGCCTTTATTTAAAAAACTAAAAGCACTAAAAGGTTTCCCTTTGTTTACTGAAGTTAAGGTTAGGGTTAGATTTAGGTGTAGCATAGCATTAATTAGGTGAATATTACTTATTTCAGTGAAAAGACCTCATAAGAATAGTAAGACAAACGTGTGTGTGTGTGTGTGTGTGTGTGTGTGTGTGTGTGAGAGAGAGAGAGATACCCCCTAAAAAGGAGGAGTACCTTTGTTTCAACATAGAGTAATGAGCATATTTACTGAACGCATGTGCATGAGGAACAGATCTTTCACAGTCGTATTGTAGTTATCCACATGAACTACTTCACAAGAAGAACACATTCTCTGTATGACCACAAGGGGGCAGCATTAGGTCATGATACCCAATGCAGGGTTTTTCAAAAAATAGAGGACCCATCCAGGCAGTTCTCAGAGCAGTATGACCAGTGTATTGAGAAACTGCTTATAAAATTCAGTTGAAATGGAGTGTATGAATATGATGCATGATACATACTTTGAGATGAAGCCTTACATCTTTTATGTCACTGTTATTGACAGTTCTGACAAGATGAATTTTTTTTCCACTCTTGTTCATAGAAATGAGCACAGGAATTCTGTAAAAAAATGTTCCCAATCCCACGTTAATTATTCTGTTTGTGTTTGTAAGTCAAAATGTCTATTTTATGAAAAATCATTTATCTGGGTTTCCTCAGGGTTATCTGGTTTCCTCCCACCTCCCAAAACATGGACGCAGGTTGACTGGCTACACTA